GCTGTTTCATACTCTGTTTGGCTCTCTCGTGTAGTATCACTCTAAATCATATTCATAAATACTCTTACTATCGAATATTTCGCGATGTTCTATATGTTCGTTACGGTATCGTAGCCCCCATTTGAGGGCATCTTTGCAATTTTTGTCGTAATCTGCACGTTTTTGTCTAAGCATTGAAAGATGTGATCAATACATACGTTAGATGATTTCCATACAGGATATATAGAGTATTGATTGCATTAATTCGATAAAATCTCTTTACAAGCGATGTCATATGTACGTACTACTCACCTCTTCCTCCATTTTTGTTTTGGTTCTGACCGCGTCTGAACGTATCACGTGACTTTTCCTCATCAATATTCATATCCTGATGTTGATTAATGAGACTAATTCCGGCACCGATATCTCCGGTACCCTTTCAATTTCAAGTTCGAAACTTCATACAAATTTTTACTTATATATTATCTATAAATATACAACAACATTTCCAGTCAACAAATTATGAAAAAATATCTATAACGGAGTGGGTCTGGCTCTTTAAATAACCACAGAAGTTGATAGGACGCTACGTTATATCAACTAGTCCATTCACACAATATGACGACAATTATGACGACAATACATCCCTTCTTATATAATCGTCATCACTTACATGATGAAACATGAGATATTCTGAATTCTAGAATATGTAATACTGTCTAGAAGCAGGGATTCTGTGTAGGAGTAAGAAAACCACAATAGCGAAATTGAAATCAAATATATACACCCTAGTGAAACGATGTCCCAGTTTATTGTTTTGTACGTGAATATAGACGTAAGGTGTTATTATAGATAATATAAAAAAAGTGAAATAAAATTACTTTTAAAGATCGTTGTTACCTCTTCAGATAAGATTTGCAATAAATTCATCCTCGTACGAAAAATAAGAGCAAGTCAGCAAACAGAGGAGCATAGTTAGTTTTCATGGTCCTGACATATCTATTGGATAATTTCGCTTCCAAACTCAATACATTGTCAACAGTATATTCAGTCATGGTCATTCTTTGATTCTCTGATTTTCCAACCTGGGTTGATTCGTATTTTTCACTGTATACTCTCCAGTATAGTTCAGAATATCACCACTCATCTTCACAAGAGTACAAAAGCGTTCATTTAATTCGGAAACGAATATGTTAGTGTACATTGCGGAAAAAGTCGGATACACTCATATGATATGGTTTCATGAGTGAATGTTCAAGGTCGACCAAAAGCCCTTTGGAGATGATTCAATAAAATTTGATAAAATAGATGTTTTATGGAACAAGTATCTGAGGCAGCCATAGCATGGAATTTAAAACCAAAATCCTCAGCCGAGTTCTAGACATTATTTGCAATATTTATGTTTCATCTGCTTGGTTTGCAATGTGGCGTAGGTGTTTTAAATACACATCGTAAAATTTAAATTGCATGTCATCATTTTTGCAACATACGTCTACAATATACATATCTTGTACATGTTTCATTTGAAATATTGCAATATATGGCACACCGGAATACTTCCATTTTTTTTTAATCATAGGAAATTTCCCCATAGGCCATGTGCAGCTGTGGACAATTACGAATGTCTTCTACAGGATTACAAGCGATGCTGACTTGGTATTTTTCTACTCTGAAATTGGATGCAAAGAAATCTTTAGGATGTGTGAGAACTCGCCACAAGCGAAATATGTTTGATAGGCGACTAGTTCTATGAGAATGTGACATTTCGTCAGTTTTAATGAAGGTCTCATGTCTAATAACATCTTTTAGTTCACGGAGAAGTGTGATATTTCCGTCGGTAATCATGTATCTTCATATCAACAGTAGCACCTTACAACTACTCTTTATACTAGACATTTGGTCAATAAAAAGAGAAAGAAAATTATACAAGATTTGGGTCACAAGGGCTTCGCACGTACTTTCAGTCAAACGTTGCTATACACATGTATGTACCAGGAAATACTAAAAGATGAAAATAGAATTTTGAAATCATTTTATAGAGGTTAGGCGTCTGGTCTAAATTTAGTTTTTGTATTGTGTAATTAGTTGGGTCTATTTTGATACCGTTATTTTCATGTGGGGGTAATATTTTCACAATTACGCGGTACATAAACGTGATCCCAAAAATTTAAAACAAGAAATAACGGGACGTGTGTGTGTAGGATATTCTTTCTTGTACAGATCGTGAAATTTTGATTCGTGATAATGTAATTCGATCGTTTTGAAAGAAAACCGTGGGCATTTTGACCCGTAAAAAAATCGGCAATACGGTATCTTGGAAGGACATGAGATATTAAAGGGTTATGGAATAAAGAACATGCTCATGGGACAAACTTCGTGCTAAATGCTTATGGCGTGTATATCATGATTGATTAATACGCAACTGAATGGTTTTTGATAAGTTTTTTATTCAAATTATTGAAATTGATCTTCTTGAAATAGGATCCGATTTTCTCATAAGTATCCAGATTAATTTCAAAATCCAGTACACGTTTTTTTATCTAAAACATACAGGTCATTCCAAATATACACAATTCAGGCTAAAGGAATAATTCCATACATATAATTTAAAGTGTTGTGGTTGTTTTTGTCTTTTGAGAATTGTTCACGATGTCTTGAAAACTTGAATCCCTGCGTAATTACCTTATCATGGAAGCTGTTGATGATTTTGATGACGTAAATCATGATGTGCTTTAAATCAGCGTACGAAGCTCTAGTTTTAGTAAGCCTATCACATTATGGTACATTTATATTTGGAACAAGTTTTGGGGCTCGTCTCGAAGCCTTTTCTAACATCTCAATATCTTTCTTTTTATAAGGAGTCGGCTCAAAGAAGCATATTTTAAGTGTAAGCGAACTAACGCTTGAAATAACTTTTTAAAAGTAATTTCATACAGGTACACAAACAATCGTCTTAGAATGCCCATTATGCTAGATTTTTTTGGTGTTGACTAAAAAGTTGAAATCTTTATCCATATTGACTTCAATATCTTTTTCTTTTGTAACATTTTGCAAAACAATTAGACTGTCTCTTCACATGAAATAATCTACATTATTTTTGATGATTGAGAATTATTGAAGGGTAAAGTATTGACCATATTTGGAGTTTATCCATACAATTTTGGAGTTTTTTCTTCCGTACTAGTTTTTTCCAGTGTCACAGAGGTCAAAGTGACCTCTTATTTTATTTATACAGTGTCTTGTGTAGAATAGGAAGAGAAAGGAATGAGTTATGACATTAAAGTTCTTATCTTTGGGATGCTGGATGCTAAGGACTATCAGATTGTCGAATTGGATATATAGCTAAACAGCTGACTCTTGTTCAAAATACAAGTACATGTACAAGTATTTGAAAGCAAGACTTCAGATAAAGATCAATTCATAAACTAATAAATTAATCTTATGGAAGAAGGGTATTGTAGTTTCTTGGCGTAAACATAAGCATATAAAGCTGATATGATAAGATCAAGATTGATAGACCAATGAAAATTTAGTATCTCACAAAGCGGAGATACAAACACCGCATAAATAAAGCTGATATGAAAAGAGCAGACTCGCTGTCAGACAGTCGGGTTCGATTTTGAAAGTTTGCCAGGATTCGAACCAGGAATCTTCTGATCCGTAGTCAGACGCGTTATCCATTGCGCCACAAGCCCTGAGGTACAACTGTTTTCAAAGAGAAAAATTTGTTATCATTGAGGTTAAAACCAGTTTTATGTGGTTCATTGTCATTTTACTGAAGTAACACTCCTGTGTATATTGTATGTGGAATTAGGGTTCTTTTGGGGAAAAAAGACTGACTCGAGGATGTCTGTTTCAAATTTATTGTGGGTACAAATATCCCTAAAAAGACAAGAACACGACTATACAATACGAGCACACAAAACTACTTTTACAAAACGTTATCGAACGCACTACACAATTACTTCACAATACACAATGCGAACAACTGGACATCTGAAGTAGGAGATAATATACGTGTATGTGTAAAATACGACCGACTGAACCTGTACAGCAATATTAACTATTTAAGGGTAATAATCGTTTACAAATAAATCACAGCAACTTACCCTGCATCTGGTGTTGGGGATGTGTACTTATATCTCGAATAGATACAGTAGATGTAGTTGCGTTGATCGGTTCAAATCTCAAACGTCCAACCCCTTTGAAATCTAGTGCCCAAGTGGAAAGACGAAAAAGCGGGAAAGGACCGGAGAATAGGCAGCCGGCATGTGTCCGGAGAGGTCAGTCCGGTCAACAAAACAATACAATACATCACATGACATCAAACATGAGTACACACAATGCGAAATACATACAAACCGAAAGTGACGGTCACGTGATCTAGCGACACGAAGCGATATGTTAAACAACAATTACAACTGCCATGGACAGTAGTAAAAAAAGGAACTATTACCGTACAGGATTTTATTAGCATATTTATTAAATACAACTATAAAATATTTAATAACTTAATCAGAGTGCCACATGTATATTTAAAATTAGTTAAAATATTGAATAAATAAATCAATGAAATTAAACAAACGAAAAATTTAGTCTCTCACAAAGCGAAGAAAAAATAGTAAAATATACTCAAATAAAACCTCAGAAAAAAAGGTTAATTTATCGCAAGAAATGTTATATTCTAATATATACATATATATGTCCGGATAGAATGTACTAAACATTTGTATATTAGTGTTACACTGTAAACTTCCGGTTTTCTAGTTTCGTTTCAACTTCTCCAAAGGCCCCTAAAAATTGACCGACTCTAATATTTCGACCCAAACGTTTTTATTACTTCCATCAGCATTTTTACGGTATTCCGGATTTTCTTCGATGCCCGTTTTGTTTTTATACGAGGAACTGTAAATAATCACCAAGACGTTTGCATTTATGCACTAAATCACCATGGATAATAAAGCATCAAAATACCCCGATTTTTGGGTTTACATGCATTTTAAATTAGATGCTGCCCGCCAGATTGTGTGCAACTTCAACGGTAGTCGCTATTAAAATGGAAAAATTTTGTCATTCACCAGAAAGACAGGTGATGGCAACTATTACCAACGGGACTAAAGTCCATGATGTTTTTCACCAATAGCAGGGCGCAGAGACGACGTGCGTGGCAAGGTTAATGACATCGCCTCTATAGCTCATTTGTCGAATTGAACGAGGGACTGACGATTTCCAATGTTTTGGAAAATATACACAAAATATCTATTGTAATTTCAATACAAACGAATGATACCATTAAAAACTTTTGATAAACAAAACTTTTTTTTACCTACCTACCATAACTTTTTGAAGAAGTGAAACCAGAAACACACAATTTTTCTTTTGGCCTAACGTGATCACATGATTTTTCACATAGATAGGCGTGTGTGACTGAGTTAGTCGACACACAGTCCGCCTGTTCGCCTGTCCGCCTGTCCACCTGCAGAAAATGGCTTTACATTCAGATACTTGTGAGGATGTCGCAACGGTATCCAATTTCCGTGAGTGTGTAGTCACACATTACCATTTGGATATTGCTGTCGACATGGAGGGACAGAAAGTTACTGGCACTGCACGACTCTCCTTTGATGTTAAACAGACAACACGGAAAGGTATCAGTCAACTGCCTCACAGTGGAAAGATTTATTGTATCTAGATTTATCATACATTCATAAAATGCAGTAGCACCCATCGCCCCTTTGCCCACCCTGCTTGATGTTCCACAGATTTAAGCAGTCATTCTAAAGCTGGAAGTTCTGAGTGATGAGTCAAAACGGGTTTTTGACTTTGACACCACATAGTATCAAACATGTGCACATGAGTGTTAAGGTCATTAATATATATTTTTTATATTAAAACAATGTAACTAATTACATGTACCATTAGTGACCAACCAAAAATTGCCAACATGTAACAACAAGCAGAATCTGCTGAAATACTTGATAGCATTTCTGACATCAAACATGTGTTCATTATATAAACATTTCTACAGCGTTTCATAATGAAATAAATTGGTTGTATCTTGATTTTTTGTATGTATTTGTGATGTTTCAAACATCTAATGGACTTTGATGTTGATAAATGATAAAGATGTTGAGAACAGGCTGGAATATTCTGTTAGGGATTTTAACAAACAACAATGGCAAGGAAATAAGGATTAATAAAACGTAATAAAGCTTATTAACATACATGTATTAGGATTGAGTGTGTTAAACTGTACAGGTGATGTGAAGGGTCTTAGTGCTTGTCAAACACAGCAATAGAAACAGATATTGACATCATGTTGATTAATTCTGCTAATGTTTAAACTTTTCAGGTAAAATTTGAAAAAACAAATACCTTTAATATATAGAATACAATTGAGTCCAGCTTTAATTAGCTGTTTGATGGTTTATACTATTTAAAACTGAATATGAAAATTAACTGCATTTCAATGTTAAGGAATATCCTTGGATTTGTGAGGACACATTGAAAGTCCAACTGATCATCTCATTACAGACGACAAAGTCTGCTGTGGACACATTAGTGTACAGGAACGTTATAAAATACCTTCTATAAATAACTCACAATAAATGTCATTAAGATATAATTATTCACAATACACTGACCAAGACATGCCATACACTACATTTGAAGACATGAAATTCAAATATATATGTTGTCTAACTTGTTTACAAATCCATAAACCTTATAATGCTTACTGTAATTCATTAGACAGCCACAGTAAAATCATGTACAGATAAGTGAATCTATTTCTAGAATTTTTTATTTAAAATATTTTTTTACCAATGCAGGTTATCAGATATGTAGCTCTGATTGTGGATGAAAATAAATATTTTATCGGTTTATTTTCAAAATGTGCTTAATGACTAACCTGAACACCTTTGTGTTAACTTCAGTTGATTTTTATATTTCATCCTTGAGCTGTTAAATAATTGTAGAGTGGACACTTTTGATTTCAAGTGCACCCTCACAAATTTAAGAATGTTCCCAACCTGTCAAATACTATAGGAACTCTTTGGTTGATATCAACATGGACTTAGATCTTTATCCAAGTGTGTGATTTAATTAGGAGTCGATTAGGACAAAAATAAATGTTTATTGTGTAACATAATTATTGTCTTGTTTTGATAATGTCTGCTGTAAAAAACATGTGCACATGATATTTCATGAACCTTCTTAGCAGATATGGTTCATATCCTCTGGCAATATACACATATGATGTTAAATTCAACACCTTATATTAAGATATTCATCCTTCTGGCCTAATGAAGGATTACAGGGCAAAAAAACATTTGTGAACAACATGTTATTCATGAAACTCTCTACAGATTTAGTTCTTACACAAGTACATGTATAGTACTGATTAATTTTGACACTGATCATATTCTGGTTGTTATCTATGTAGATTAAGAATCAAAGAATACAAAATGTGCATTTGACAACTTCTCTTTTCTGCACTGAAAAACTTGTGAAGAAGATTACAGACTTTCCTGTCTTTTAGACATTTTATAATAATAATAATAATAATAATAGTCTTTATTTATACTTGATAACAAATTTGGTCAAGTGTTTACTAAAAGATATACAATATCTACAAAATGTACATAAAAGATTCAAAACTGAAAGTAATATAAGCAATAAAACATACATGGAAAATTATGTGGATTCAATAAAAAATTTCTTTGAACTTTAAAAGATAAGAGTGAAGTAGAATTTCTGACATGATCAGGTAAAATATTCCATGTGTATGGACCCTGGTAAGTAAAAGAATTCTTAAGTATATTAGTTTTCAATGAAGGTAAGTAAAATACATTACTGGATGAGGATCTTGTTTGTCTTGCCTGAACATCAGAACTAAGTTTAAAATGATTAAGATACTGGGGAGCCAAACCATGCAGGACTTTGTACATCAGTATACACTGATTATATTCAACACGTTTGGAAAACGGTAACCAGTTTAACATTCTAAAAATATTACGAGATGGAGATGGCGTATTAAAATCACAACCCAAGATAATTCTACCAGCCCTTTTCAAAAATTTATCGAGCTTGATGCAGTTTGTCTGAGATGGATTTCCTCATATATCAATACAGTAGTTAAAATGAGGATTTACAGAGCAATTAAAATATGTCAAACAGGAAGACTGACTTAAGTATAACCTCACTACAGTATCTTTTACATGAGAAAATTTCACATTCCTAAATCCATTCATTGATTTTAGTTGTAGGATTTTGTTTTTAATGCTAATAGATCCATATACACCTCAGTGTTAATTGTTTATAAATGGTTTTGATTGGACCAATTATTTGATCGTTGTTTATTTTTTTTATTTAAAATAACTTAAAATATGAAAAATTGTGAAATTTATTGTATCTGGTATAAAAAGATTTATGTCTCTTTCATTTGCATTAAACAGATGATTTCAGGCATGAAAAATAGTTTGCTAGATGCTGGAACCCTTTTGCCTCTGGACATTTAAAAATGATAATTTCCCTCCCACTCCATTCTTTCTAAGAATTCTGGAAGAACTACTTATTTAATTTGGTGTGGCCTGAAGTTAACACATCACTAGTCAACAGGTAAACTGATAATATTCCACACAGATCAGGTGTCTTGTAATTATTATATTGCTGTATAAACCTATCCCACACCCTTTGTGTCTGTGAAATATCCTGGTCTTAACAATTTTTGATTTTATGCATGTTATTGCACTACATAAAGAGAATATTGGGTTGATTTTTTTTTTTTTTTTTTCAGATACCAAAACTTGACAATTTGCCAAACTAAACCTTTGTAAAACGCAAATTTTTTGTTCATTTTAAATCAAGTTTTATTTTGAGATTGGGACTATATAAAATGAAATATATACGTGTATATAATATATAAAATCATGAAATTTTGGCCACAACTTTTCTGAAAATAGTTGTTACATACATGTTTACAAACGAAAATCTTGTCCATTACAAAATCAGGTTAAAATAGCCGTTTTGCTTTGTTCATTTATACCTGATCAACATTTGTTAAGATAAGATATTTTTTATAATGAATAGAAGGTCATACAGGATAACATTTACATTCATTTTACCTGACTCCTAGGGTCATTCTGAGAGGTTATGCCTTTGTGAGGCATCAGGTGTCCCCCTGGCATTAATTATTTCCTTTAAACAACTTCTCAGAATGATTAAAAAGGTCAACAGTCATTGTATTTTGCCTCTAAGCTCTCTAGGATAAAGCTAAAACGAAGTCTGAGATAATATGACTTTGGCTTATGTTCAAGGTCACAGAGGTCACATTTGTCAAAAATCTTACAACATATGATGAGTAAGTGAAATTAACTTAAAAGCATAGAACCTATGTGTTTTTAAAAGTTCCTGGAATAGTAGCATAGAACCTATGTGTTTTTAAAAGTTCCTGGAATAGTAGCATAGAACCTATGTGTTTTTAAAAGTTCCTGGAATAGTAGCATAGAACCTATGTGTTTTTAAAAGTTCCTGGAATAGTAGCATAGAAACTATGTGTTTTTAAAAGTTCCTGGAATAGTAGCATAGAACCTATGTGTTTTTAAAAGTTCCTGGAATAGCAGCATAGAACGTATGTGTTATTAAAGGTTCCTGTAATAGCAGCATAGAACCTATGTGTTTTTAAAGGTTCCTGGAATAGCAGCATAGAACCTATGTGTTTTTAAAGGTTCCTGTAATAGCAGCATAGAACCTATGTGTTTTTAAAGGTTCCTGGAATAGCAGCATAGAACCTGTGTGACTATAAAGGTTCCTTGAATAAAACCACACAATATTGCAAAAGAAATGACCTTGACCGAGGTAAAATTAGGTAAAAAGGTACAAAAACTTGAAAATACATGTACCTGTGTTCAAGGTCATGATGGTAAAATTTGTTAAAATGCTCAAACATACTTCTTCCAATTAAATAAAAGGAGTTGAATCATGACATCATTTGTCAAATTTCTGGGATGAAGTTTGTAAATGACCTATGATAAAGATGTATCTTGTTGATTGTCAGTAACATAAGTAAACATCATACCAAGTGAGCATTGTAATCCCATCACATCTCATGTTTTTTTCTGCAGTCTGTTTACATTTAAAAGTTTCAAATCTTGCTTAAATGTTTACCAGTTATTAATTGTTTTAGGCAGGTGATTAATTAAGTAAAGATGGTACTATATTACTATATGTATATATATATAAAGCCTATCCATGTAGTAGATGATTGTATGTAGAATGTTTAAGGACTAAAAATCTTACTCTCACTGCAACTGTCAGTACTTTGATTTAGCAATTAACTTTGATGGCCCTCCCACATGCTGCACGATGAGTTTGAAAGACCACAACTCAAAAACATCACAATTGTTGATGGAGGAAAATCTCAGTGGGCAAGCATTTTAATTAAACATGAAAACTATTGATTAGATGAATATTTAACATTGCAAAACATTAGCCTAATATACATAGATGATGACATATTTTCATTGTCAATATCATAACCTGAAAGCATTTTACATACATCAAAAGAATCTGTAATTCAATATTACTATGCTAATTTAGATCAACACTTGTACACTATGTAAAAATCTTCCTTATTTTTAATTGTGATGCTCAGTGACTAGATGTGGTTGTACAAATCTGATACTTATTCTGGTACTGTCTGATGTTGTGAAATGTTGTTTTCATTATATGAATTGAGACATTTCAAAGTTTTAATATCTATTTTTTAAACTTTTTTGTTTTTATAAATTTTATGTTTCTTTTATATGATTTCCTAGTGAACTTGGACATACATGAATCGCTAACAGTAGAAAAGGTGGAGTTATCTCCCTTGGGTTCCAACAGCAGGATCAATCTGGAGTTTGTCTCAAAACCATTCACGGACTATGGAGCAGAGCTTGAAATTAGTGTAAGTAATGAACTAATGACAGGAATAAGTGAAATTTTACATTGGATACACTCCCATTGGAATTTGAGAGCATTTCAGAATCATGGATACACTTTCATTGAGATTTGGGACATATTTATTTAATACCTTGCCCAAAGAACTGGTGTCATTAAATCTGTGATCCATTATCAAGAGAGGGTCAAATGTCCTTTGGAGCAGAAGTGCAGGGCTAATCACTGGGTAATACAAAATCAGTAGTTCTTTTCAAAAATTCTTCTTTCGTACAGAGAAAGGATGTTTTAACCTAACATCCAGATCAACGTTTGATTTGCTTTTGGACTCGATGATAGATGGTCCCGCTCCAATTAAGGCAGGGGTATGTGGTAAACTATGGGAAATAGAGATAAAACATGAAGATAATTTATTTCAGTGTGGGTAATTTGACTGAAGTTTGTGTATGGCACATGTATGTGGAAGGGTATATCATAATAAATGAGCTCTCCTTAGAGTCTAGTAGCAGTAGAAGTGTTTAATGCTTGATATACTTTTCCAGTCAGAAAAATGATCTGCCACCCCATTTTCAGACATTCAGGGCAGATATTTCACTTGAATAAAGTCCAGGTTGTTCACATAGATGTACATGTTGAGCTCAAAAATAGAACTATTGTTGAAGATACAAGTGTTTTTCATCCAGTTTTCTGTTATAAACGAAATTAGTAAATAATTTATGATATTTATGAGATTGTTTTGAAGTCATTTTTGTGTACAATGCAACTCTGGTACTCTTGTTTACAATCACTATGCTGTATTATGTTTACGAAGATGTATCAAACTTAATTTACCTGTGTTTTGGAGACAGTTAGGAGTATGGTTGTAGGTTGTTTAGATTGTTTATGTTCTGTTTTCTTTGATGAGATTGACATATTGTATACATAGAAACCTTCACCATAATTTAATTTCCACCAGTTTTGCACTTTTGACATTGAGGCGAATATCAAAGACAGATTTGAGACTGGAGCAAATAAAAATAGTCAGTTTTCTGTGAGGTTGAAAAACACTCAAGGTGAATTTCTTGATTCTGGATTTATCTTGTAAATCCTGAATTTGATAAAGACCTGATATTAGATATTGACAATAGATATGAACAACGTGCTATATCAGATCATATTCAACACAGATAGAAATGCTCTAACCTTCTTACTACGGGAGGCAGCCGCAGTTCCAAGTGAAAATTAATGTAGTCAGGCAAGTGACCTGAGACATTTTCATTTCTGATGAGGATCTCAAACCATGGTTATTTAGTGACTTAAGACAAAGGTGAGTTCATTACCAGGGTGCCATCTGACAACTCATTGGCGACAAGTTAAGTTTGGAATTTTTCTTCAGTGGTTTTCCATTCATTTGTTGGTTTTATTTCTGCTGTCACAAATTGTTGTTCATCTTTTAATTTAAAGCTACAAAAGGAGTTATCTCCCCCTGAGATATTTGACCTCTACATCACCTATACAGCCAATGGCGGACCAGGTGTGTGCTGGCTCTCACCTGAACAGACAGCAGGTAATTTGATTAGTCTCACCTGAACAGACAGTAGGTTAGTTCAAAGTCAGTCTAACCTTTACAGACAGCAGGTAAATTCAAAATTAGTCTCCTCTGAACAGATAACCGGTAAATTCAAAATTAGTCTCACCTGAAGAGACAGCAGGTGAGTTCAAAATTAGTTTTACCTGTTCAGACAGCAGGTGAGTTCAAAATCAGTCTCACCTATACAGATAACAGGTAAGTTCAAATTTATTCTCACCTGAACAGACAACAGAGAAGTTCAAAATCAGTATTACATGAGTAGAAATCAACTACATTGGAAAAGTAGAATTACATTCACCATAGTAAAAGTTTCAATAATTTCAAACATTACAAAATGTTTCATTATATTAAAAATTGACTGATATATTTACTCTTTAAAGGAATATAATTTTCAACAGTATTTATCGATTTATTCAAGATCTGAAATACATTTTGACAAATAAATGTATGTATCACCACAGGGAAGAAGAAGCCCTACATGTACACTCAAGGACAAGCAGTGATGAACAGGTGTTTTTTCCCCTGTCAGGACACACCTGCTGTTAAAAGCCCTTACTCTGCCAATGTCAAGGTAACTGAATCAATATTGTCTATGCTATATAGTTCTATACGAGTAACTACCAGCATTCATAATCATTCAGGGAATTTCTTTTTTGTATTCTAACCTTTTTTTGTGACTTTTTAGAGAAAATTTCACTAACAAGCCTTGATTTCATTGTCTAGATACAGAATATATTTCATACATGTAATTCTATTATTCAGCAAAATTAAATGCTGTTTTTTTATGAAATGTATTGTCTGTAAAATATAAAAGAATAAATTTCATATCCATTATGTATCTGTAGATATATATAGATATCTGTGTAATGGATAATGATATGGGTATTCAAAAATTTAAAGATTGATTTGATTATGACTGCAGAGGGACTGTGATAGTCAGTATAGACTCTCCAACTTTGCAACATCATGTATGTGAAGATGTTGTTTGAGTTTTGAGCTCAGGGATGAGAATTTAAAATTGGGAATAGGGGTAGGGGGTTGTGTTTCCCATGATCAGGAAGTTGAGATCTTGGAGTGTCCTGTGCTGTCATGATTGAGTCCTTGGGCAAGACACTTTACCCGAATTGCTCTCGTTTATTGTAGCATGTGATAACCTTCCTGTATGTTGTTTAGTGAGGTTTGTTGTAGCCACCTATTGCTACAAGGAGACGATCCTGATTGCTCACGGGCTGATAAACTCAGCAAACAAGATGAAAGATAAAAACTTTTTAGTATACAAGAATAAGTACTTGTGTACAAGATATATATTATATACTCTGCAATAAGCAAATGCAAAAGACTTTTCACATAGACTGAGCTTGATCAGGGAGACAAGCTTATTACAGGGAAATAGAGCTGTATAGTATTAATTGGCATTTTAATGAATACGCATTAGATATGGATGAGGTGTGATATTATTACCAAACAAATATTAGATATGAATAATTTTAATCAAAGCTACATTTATACATCTTGTATAGATAGATATTTGTGTGTATAACAGGTACCTGAGGGATTCACCCCAGTTATGAGTGCAAGTCAGAGGTCGGAGAAGGGGACAGTACCAAACATGTCTGGAGATGAGGACACATACTATTTCAGTCTGCCCCACTCAATACCTGCTTACTTAGTGGCCCTTGCTGTTGGGGATCTGACCTCAGCCAGAATTGGACCTCGCAGTCATGTCTGGACAGAACCATGCATTCTGGTATTGATCACTAATGGAAATGTTATTTTACTTACATGATATAAACAAATAGATTTTTATAGCAAGTTTCAATATTCCATCAAAAGTTGTTTGTTTGGGGAAAATAATTACTTTTTGTTTTCTCTGAATAAGAAAATAAGTATTAACCAGACAGTTAGATGGAATGGACTGTACATTCCTGGCCAATGCATTGTTAAGTATGATCAAAGATGTGTAGATGGACACTGAGTTTGTGTTTCTCTTAAGGTGAGAACGGACCTGCCTGTGCTGATGTGAGTGCATATACCCTTAGGCAAGATAATTTTACAAAAATTAATCTAAATGGCAAGTGATGGGCCTCCTGTATGTTGTCCATTTAAGTAGTCACCAGCTACTAAATTGAGTGTTAGTCCTAAATCAATACTGGCGGTTGATGGGGTGATTATCCCAACAAACGAACAAACAAATCAATGTAATTTAGTTTGATAAGGGAAAGTACAAACATATGATCTGCTCTGAGGCTAAGAAAATCCTGATTAAAGCTGTTGTGTTGTCTTCTCAATTACAAATTCACTCATTCCATTAGATCTGATATGCTCTTCTGTCTATAAGTTTGTCTGAGGAAGGTCACTGTGACCTGTTTCTTTTTTGTTTCACTGACTTCTAGTCAGACTTTGTTCATTGGCTATTATAATTCTGTTTCCACCAAAGTACAACATGACATATGTAGGTATGTAGATATTATAATAAGAAAATGTGTAGTTTGCTCTGTATGGCAATGATGTTTACCATAAGGAACAAGAAAACTCTCATGATCTGTAAAATAACCCAATTATATAGACTGATTGACATTTTGTAAGGCCTTCCTTGATTGGTTAGTTTAAGTGATTCACATTATCTAAAACCTTCTGTTATTGGTTTATCATCATGGTATTCAAATTTCATTGATTTGTTGCCTGTAGGAAAAAGCAAGGGCTGAATTTGATGGTGTCGTGGAGAATTTTCTGACAACAGGCGAGAGGCTGTTTGGAAATTATGTCTGGGATACATATGATCTGCTTGTGATGCCACCCTCTTTCCCGTTTGGAGGCATGGAAAACCCATGTTTGACCTTTGTGACCCCATGTCTTCTGGTTGGGGACAAATCTCTTACTGATGTTGTCATCCATGAAATTGTGAGTATTCAGTAAAATTTTTGTGTATGAAATGTACATATCTGGTCAGGATTCACTGTAATAATTTTGAATACTACTGATGAATTCAAAGTCGTCCATTTGTTATGCTTCCCAAAGGGAGAGCATATAGTTGCTGCTTTGTCCATCTGCCTGTCCTTTTGTCTGTCATAATTTTGCCCAGACAATAACACAAAAATTATAAGGGGTATCAGCATGAAACTTCATAGATAGGTAGATAGATCTTGATGAGGGTAATTGTAATGTACATGAACCATAACTCTCCTCAGCATAATTTAGGAGTTATTGCCCTTTGTGATTTTTCATTCTTAAATTTTGTCCAATTTGGGAATTGTAACCCGTCTCCTATGACCCTTGTTTTACTTATCATCACATAATAAATTCTTATTATTAAATATATTTCAAATTTCTTGTTGATGTTTATTTCCTGCAAATGCATATAATTTTCTGCACATATATTTAAAAAAAAATATTTATGAATATGCTAATTTTCTATTAATGAATCAGTAAATTTCTCTCTGATGAATATGTAAATATAGATTTTGTTTTTCAGGCTCACAGCTGGTTTGGAAACCTTGTCACAAATGCCAACTGGAGTGAATTCTGGTTGAATGAAGTGAGTAACAAAAAAAATCTTTTTCTAATTTTTACTGGTACTTATTTTACAGTGAAGCTTGTTCATTGATATGATTGGAGTATTTGAAGTTAATAATTTTCGTTTGAAGCGATTTTGTAATTAACCTTCAGTCTAAATGTCATGTGTGCTTTCAGGGATTTACTATGTATGCACAGAGGAGAATAATGTCCGAATTATTTGGTGCTGCCTACACATGTCTCGAGACATCTACTGGTCAGGCATTGTTACGACAACATATGGATAGCACAGGACAGGTGTGTTCTTTCATCTTCTCTTGTTATTTGTTTATAGAAAAATGCCCTTTTCAAAATATTTCCTTTTTGTTAGAGCTGGGATTACCTTTTTAAATGTAGGCAGGATTATATGCTTATGCCCAAAACATTGAGCAGGACTTTCTTCCCTTTTGAAATAGAGTTGCCTCCCTTAGCAATACAGGTTTTAACTAGAGATACGTCCCTTTCTAGGACCACCCATTGAACCGCCTGAGAGTGATCATAGAAGCTGGTGTAGACCCGGACGACACATACAATGAGACACCATATGAGAAAGGATTTGCCTTCGTGTCATACCTCCAACATCTGGCAGGGGATGTGAAGACTTTTGATGACTTTCTCAAGTCATATGTCTCCAAATTCCAGTTTAAGGTACCTCAACAAAATGGTTGTTCCAAACCCATGTCCTCAAGATACGCTTCAATTTTTTATTTTCAATTCTGTCAATTCTGGCATATCAGCTGCACGCCCAAGCACCGAGGAAAAAAGCTGCAGCTTTTAATCTGGAAAAAAATATATCAAGTTGTTTTATCTGCTGTCATCTTTTGTTGTTATTAAACTTTTTTTATGATGGGACCAGATTTCATCATCTCCAAATAAAATCAAGAACTGCTTACAAGAATTTTATAAACCAACTTTTGAATATTACAATCACAATTATGTTACATGGGTTTTAAGTCTTATCTCTTTGATTGCTAAATGTAACTTTACAGCTTATCTCTAATCTGTTTTTATTTGAAGAGTTTGGTGGCTGAGGATATGCTGAATTATTACCTTGAATATTTCCCCGAGATGGAAAAACAAGAAGTTGATAAACGGTAAGGGGTTTAGCTTATTTTGTCTGAAAGAAAAGAACTAAACTTCTGAACTGCAGAAGAAATTGCTAATTACCGGTTCAGTAATTTCAAAATTTGTACAATCAGTTTTAAAATATCCAGTTACCATCTGCTTACTGTATTTATCAAACTATGCAGTTTGTACGAAAGGATTGCTTTTTACTTTCTGTATGTGCATTGATGTCTATTTACATTTGAATACTGTAACTAGATATTGCTTGGTGCATATAAGGCATGTTATGTCCACAGCAGTAGGGGGTGCCACTCTGTGTCCTTGACAACACTATGACAACAAAATAATCCAAAGTGCAAATGATTCAACTGATGTTTTTCATACATGTATTTTGTCACAGTTCATTAAGATACCTGTACCTTTACATTTTAACTCTGTTTATGTATGACTTCGTGGTATAAGTAAACATCACACATTAATAAGTGACGCAAGAAAAGACAAGAGTGTATACTCTTGTGCTAGTCTAATTAAGATTTCTAAATATTTATAGAAACACTCATTGTGGTTGGTAATTGGAAAAAGCTTCATCTGGCATCTGTAATGTATATGTAGGGATTTGTTATTTACTACTCTCAAGCCATCACTAATATGTTTCATTCATCACTACTGTACTCAATCCTCGAATATTCACAAAGTTTGTTGTTGTAGATGTATACATGTTTGTTATTGAAGTTCTACTTCAACTATAGCTTGATTTCTGTAACTGTGTTTATCCTTTTGTCTCCGAATTCTTGATACATCGATAAAGGAAATAGAGTCACAGTGACCTATATTCCATTCATTTGGGCATTTTGTTTTGTATTAGTCACTGAATGATACTAATTATGTGAAATTTTACCTCAAACACCTGGCAGTTGGTTATCATGCCGATTTTGCTGGGTCAGATGTGCCTTGAGGCTTCAGTGTAAAGCTTATGTAACTAAAACAGATTTTGCATTGTAGACCTGGATTTGAATTTATCGACACCTGGTTGTTGAAACCTGGCTGGCCCCCATACACACCTGACCTGTCTGCAGGAAGTGAGCTGACCACCCCAGCTGAGGAGCTGGCTGAGCGATGGGCTACAGAGGGAGATGTAAGTTAAAAGCATACTTTTAAATGTTTGGATAAATATGAATAACGGTTCTATTTGATAAAGTCAGTCGAAGCTTTTTGTAACGCTATGACCACATTGAGTCCTGTCCTTCAGTTCCATGTGTTTTTAGCCTTGTTGATAGATCAGGCCTTATTCTAACCCTATAAGAATCATTTCAATCAAGTTTTGTTCAAAAAAACATTTTATATTGTCATAACATTCTATCCCAGACAGAGAAACCGATAAGGACAGTGCCAATTTATACTATTCACACTAATGTTGATTTCTGTGTAACTTCAGGGTGGTGCAGTGGACATTTATACTATTCACACTAATGTTGTTTTCTGTGTAACTTCAGGGTGGTGCAGTGGACATTTATACTATTCACACTAATGTTGTTTTCTGTGTAACTTCAGGGTGGTGCTGTGGACATTTATACTATTCACACTAATGTTGTTTTCTGTGTAACTTCAGGGTGGTGCAGTGGACATACCAACATGGCCAACATACCAGATAGTCCATTTCCTAGATAAGCTACTAGAAAAGGAGACACTGTCAGTGGCAACTCTCTCCAAGATGGCGGCTCAATATCCTACAATATCTGGCACACATAATGCCGAGGTATAATTCATAAAAGAATTATTTTTATTCTTAAATGCTTGTAAATTGAGAGGCTACATGAAACAATGGGCAAAAACCTGAATTGTATCATGTTATGGGTACTACTGTAAATATTTTTTACAGTGGCAACTCACTCTTAAACTTGATATTCTTTTATTTTGAAAGTTGGAGCTGGTACTGTGTACCTCTAACAATGTATTCATATATCAGAATGCTATTAATCCAATTTGAGGGGGATATTGGTTGGGTGGGGTGGGTGAACACTTTTAAACTTCATGAGTCACACGCTTTTGTCTAAAAGTTATCTCCCATTTCTGGTCAAGTGAAGTGACCTATTTTTATTGCCTTTTGTCCGTCATTGTTTGTTATAAACTTTTGAACATTTACGACTTCTTCTGGAAAGTTCCTGAACCAATTTCAAGAAATTTTAACACCAAAATTGTAAATTATATTGTCCTTGACCCCCAGGGGCCTGCGGGACAGAAACAAAAATAGACAAATTGATTGGAAGGTAAAAAATCCCAGGTAATTTGAATCAAATATTCTTCCTGGTGGCTTGTGGTGCTATCAAAATTGTAAATTTAAAAACAAGGTCTCACATTTCCCCCAAGGGGCTGATGGACAGGGCATAAAATGGGTCAAATTGACTGAACTTTCAAAAACTCTTCTTCTCAGACCCAGGGTCCCCTTGGGGTAAAACTTACCTTAGTGTATATAGGAAAATTATATTTGGAGCATAATTTGTTTAAATTCTTTTAGAAAAAGTGCAAACTTGCTTAGAATTGTTAGTATAAACTGACAGTTTGACGAGATGCACATATTGACCTTGGCTGAACCCAAGGGGCTGATAAGTGGGGCTGAAACGGGGTCATATAGACATGAAATTTCAAAGATGTTCTACTGTTCAAGGATGTGTTTATAAAAGGAAATTAAATTTTCAAATGTAACTTGGTTAGAAGTCTTAGCATGGAACAGCAGGAGTTTTGCACATTTGCATCGTTTACAATGCAGTTATCCTACTTTTTTTAACAAAATAATTTCTATGACATGTCACAAGAAGAAACTCAGGTGACTGTTAAGGCCCTTGATCCTCTTATTTAAAATATTGGTAACATGCATCTTAACACAGTGACTTTGCCATAGAATTTTTAAACATCAATACACACATAATTAACTAATCCTGAAAGATTTTTTGTTTAAACTATTTTACAGAGAAACGGTTTTCATTTTCAAGTGTTTGTAACTGCTTGTTTTATTTGTTGTTGTTGTTTTCAACCAGATACGCATGCGTTGGAGTCTTGTCACCATTAAACATGGATATGGAGCAGACTTTGAGAATATCCGTCGTTTCCTTCACAGCCAAGGTGAGGATGCTATGTATATGAACGTTACCATACAGAAATATGATTTTACAAACAAAACAATAATGTAAATCCACTTAAATGTAACAATTCTGAAGTTAAAGAGCTTCAATGTGCATGCATTCCTGATAAGAATTTTGCCGTTTTTCCTCCACCAAGAAGAATAGTCAAACAAGTTGTTTTCTTCCTTAAAATTTCATCCCTTAGAAGGATGTATATAACAGTAAATAGCAAAAATGTGACTTGGTTGATGAATTGGCTTAAGGCTTGCGACCGCAAATTTCTGGTGTTTTTATTTTTGGCCTCAGTGTTTTTGTTTTAAATGAAAACAAACTTTTAAAATATTCTGCCATTCAAAAGAGTGTCCATATTACCAGTGAATCCATACTTAGTTCAACTTAAGTTTTTACACACAGATACATGGTCACTTAAGTTGTTTTAATTAATGTCGTACATTTGTAATATTTCTTGATGCTGACAGGTAAACAGAAGTATACACTACCTATATATCGGGCTTTGATGAAGAGTACAGATGCTGCTAAGAAATTTGCTGTGGAGGTTTTTGAAGAGACTAAGGACCAGCTACACGTGAATGTACAAAATTATGTACAAAAGATCCTATCTGCCACCAGTGCCTAAATGGTCTTTTTTGAAGTTTTTTGTTACACAAATTCTAGGGAACAATTAGTCTGATTTGCCGAACAAAGTGCCATACATCAAAGTTAAGTAAGATTTCAACAGCGAATTGTCCATCAATATTTACATCATTTTTCAGTCTTGAAAATAATGACTTTTTTTTCTGAGGTGATATGAAATGAGCAGGAATGGACTGCTGGTCTTGGGTAAAAGACGGATAAAATTATTCAAACCATTTGATATTGCAGAAGTTATTTGAAACGGTTTTTTTGAATCATGACAGGTTAAATTGAATCTACAACTTCATAACAGACAAAGTGACAGTATGATAATTGGGGTATCAATAAGACATTTGTGAATTAATCACAATCAGCAATATTTAACCTCTTTAAAGAGGAAATTTTATAATCATATAAACGAACTATATAAGAGATAAGATCTATCATTTTTAGCAAAAAAAACCCACCTGATTCTAGTTAATTAGCTAACTAGCGAATTATATTGTATTAATAAGGTTATATTCAATTTACAAGACATTTTTTCAATTGTTGACATTTGTTCAAAACATTTATCTGTACAGGTTGTCAGTGGACTATTGTTTTAAGAGTACTATTTTAACTCCTACAACAAAGTTCCAATAGGTTTGACACTTGAATTATATATTTGTCATTTATTTTACTATATGTATCATTCAATATACACAGGGTGCGAAAACATTACCCATGTATTCAAGCACGGAGGGGTAGTGGCGGGGCTCCTAGTAGACACTAATGGAGTATTTCAGCTGCAAATAAATCATTAATTTTTTTAGTTTTCTTTTTGTTGAATATGTGGTTATTCTTGATCCACAAATTGATATGTCCAAGAAACAATAAACAGATGAAAAATGACAAAGGTTATAGTACTAGTGGATTTCCTGAACATTATTTACAATGTTATGAATTAAATTATATGCTAATGAAAATGGAAACTTTGTAAAACCCAAAAAATTTGAATCCTTCAAATATATATGATGTTACTATATACATTGTAATGTGGATGGGCTTAATGCTTGTTAAAAATTGAAATACTCCTTTCTCAAAGAATCATCTACGTCCTGTGCATTTTATCTCTGAAATTCTTCAGTGGTATACAAGTTATTCATGGGTCTCATATTTACTGTCTCTGTATACTACTTGTCTCAATTCATGAAACTCTTCAGCATTATGTTTGACCAGTTTCCAAATTTGAAACCCTTTTAAACAAACATACAATGAGCAATCAACCGATACTTTCTGTAGAAAAATCATGAAACTTTTGTATTAAATTGTGAACTTGAGTATTTCACATGTGGGTATTTTCACTTTTGGTTACTGAAGGAAGATACTACAACAAATCAGCCAAAATGTTAAAGCCGATATAAACAGGAACAACGTATGACATGTTTTGGTATATGGAAAGGGAGTCCTGCATTTTAAATTTAATCTATTTACAATAAACATTATATATGGTTGAAAAAATGTGAAACAGACTGTAGGTCATTGTCGCTAAATGTGAAAACAAAATAACCGTAAATTTTTATTTTGAAACAGATTATATTTTGTAAATTGTTTCTGTCTCATTAATTTTTATTTAACATTAAGAAGGATAAATTGAGTTTTTTTCAAGAATAATACAAATAAATTTTTTCTTTTTGTATTTTATTGTCTTAAGTTTTGTTTTTTACATCAGATAATAATTTTCATATCAAAACAATAATTTCAACAAATGTCTGTCATACTTTCCCCTTTATGATGTAGCACTAAAATGATTCCAATCATTGCCTCCTTGAAATATGGATGTCACTATTAGGCAATCTCCCTAGAAACATGATACATAAATACAGGCATCCATGATTTCTCTCAGATGAAGAAAATTATGAAGGACTTTGTTTTTATTAGTGTACATCTGTGTTACAGATGGTTGTACAGGATCTGCCTTCTCTTCTTACATTCCTGGTATGTTTGATGCCACAAGTTATCTCCCTGCTCCACCAATATACATCCCAACATAATAAAATTTTCAAGATATTTTTCACTATTTTCAATGACATAATAATCCCCCCTCCCCCCAAAAAATACAATACATTGAAAATTAAAGTGAATAAAGAAAACAATTAAATTTTTATGATTGTTCAGTTCACGGATACCTTTTTTCAACAGTTGAATCACACAATGGTATTGAAATGATAAAGAAATCCTGGAAATATTTTAGTCCACTGAATTTTTTTAAAAAGATAAAGTTAATAAAAGACATTTGGTTTCTCTTTTCACCTCTAAATAATACAGTGCCTTACTTCTACTGGAATACTAAATGTCATTTCCATTATCGCTTTCTTCTCTCCTTGACTTACTGTCACTGTATTCTTCACATTTTTCTGATCCCACTTAATTATCTCAATGGATTATCTGCAGTGTCAATGATGCTTTGTTTATCAGTATGAGTAATTCACCCTATCGATCCTTCCCTATATCGGAATATTTATTCTTTTTTAAGTCTATACCAATTACCTCCCCAGTATCATAATCTGCTGGTAAGGGTATCTATATTCTGTTCTGTGAATAATAAATCCTGTCTGCTAGAGTTATCAAGGTTCTGTTCTGTAAGCTGTAAGTCCTGTGATCATCCTCTTTGATAATCTGTAACAGTTACCTCCCCTTGTAATATGTGTCATTGCCTGCTAGAGTTATCAAGGTTCTGTTCTGTAAGTTGTAAGTCCTGTGATCATCCTCTTTGATAATCTGTAACAGTTACCTTCCCTTGTAATATGTGTCACCGCCTGCTAGAGTTATCAAGGTTCTGTTCTGTAAGTTGTAAGTCCTGTGATCATCCTCTTTGATAATCTGTAACAGTTACCTCCCCTTGTAATATGTGTCACTGCCTGCTAGAGTTATCAAGGTTCTGTTCTGTAAGTTGTAAGTCCTGTGATCATCCTCTTTGATAATCTGTAACAGTTACCTCCCCTTGTAATATGTGTCACTGCCTGCTAGAGTTATCAAGGTTCTGTTCTGTAAGTTGTAAGTCCTGTGATCATCCTCTTTGATAATCTGTAACAGTTACCTCCCCTTGTAATATGTGTCACTGCCTGCTAGAGTTATCAAGGTTCTGTTCTTTGAGTTGTAAATCCTGTGATCATCCTCTTTGATAATCTGTAACAGTTACCTCCCCTTGTAATATGTGTCACCGCCTGCTAGGAGTTTCAAGGTTCTGTTCTATAAGTTGTAAGTCCTGTCCATCCTCTTTGATAATCTGTATGAGGTGACGCAAACCTTCCTGTTGCTGTTTAAGCAACTAAAACATAAAACAACAAAAACATCAGTTAACTCACCAAATCTAACATGGATTTTGAATACCTATATATCCTTTTATAAAATGAGAGTATTGAAAGTAAATTTAAAGAGAAAGAATTTTTTACTAGATTATAAGAAGAAAAAACAAAATCATGAAATCTTACCTGTTTGATTTCATCCTGTAAAGCAGGATCAATTTGATAACTAACATCTGTCCTGGTGGCTGCTAAATGGTTCTGCATTCTTATCTGTGACATTAATTCATTTAAACGACCCTGGAAAAGATAAAGAGGCCCAAAGGCCTTAAGATTATCTGACTATAAAGAACTATTAATGATACAGAGGCCAAATAGGCCTAAAATAAATTGCTCAACTACTCTACAGCTTACAAAGAAGACATTGTTGCAACATCAAAACATTTTCTGCAATCTTGAAATCATACTTTTTTATACATGAAAATGAGTCAAAGTCATTCATTTTATCAAGCATGCTATAGACACAATGCCGGCACCCTTGGCCAATTTTTTATTGAGGAGTCATTTAAAGACTGACATATTTGATACCTGTGACGTTGAAAGTAGGTCAAGGTCAATCATGTGAACAAACATGATAGTCATTCATCCCAGCATCATACAGGCAACCAATACCAGCACCATGAACTTTTTGGTAACTGAGAAGTTGTTTAAATATTTCATCACATCTGACCCCTGTGACCTTGAAAGTGGGTCAAGATTATGCATATTAACTTGGTAGTCTCCATCTCAGCATCATTCTGGCCAAATATCAGCACCCAGGGCCTTTTGGTTGTTGAGAAGAAGTTTTTTTAATATATCTTACCCCTGTGACCTTGAAAGTAGGTCAAGGTCAATCATTTGAACAAACTTGGTAGCACTTCATCCTAACATGCTACAAGACCAATATCAGCATCCAGGAATTTTTGGTTATTGAACAGAAGTCATTTGAATGGAATGTTTACGGACGAAACACAACCGAAGATTTCAGAGGGATCTAGACACCTTTTCATTTGTTCTTTACCAGTTGGAGCTTTTCTCTTCATTCTTTTTTTGTCATAATTTGAGAATACCTCTCAAGAAATAGTAACAACTGTCAAATCTCAGATGATCACCTGTATACCATTTTCTTTTCTGATCGGTTTCAAAATCATTCAAAATGGTGATAACAAACTTTCATAGCCTTAATCCAAGATTGCTACATGTCATTATTTTTATCAGTCCTAAAATCAAATGAGTACCGTTAGGGACCAAGGGGAACCTACATATTTACGAATTGTCCATCAGGAACTTGTTACGATAACAATAGTGATAGAATAGTGATAACATACAATGAAATCCAAGATGACCACATGTCAGCCATTTTGTTTATCTGATCAATCCTAGATTCAAAAGGGCGAAACTATGGATAAAGAGGTGATGGCTGACCTTGAACTAATGAACAGTGTGACAAATGACCTTGAGCTAATGATCAGCATTACAGCTGACCTTGAACTGATGATCAGCATGACAGCTGACCTTGAATTGGTGAATAGTAAACAGTGTACCTTAAATTGTGTAGGGTGGTTAAGTTCTGCTTGACTTTTTTCCAACTGTACGCGTAACTGTTCCTCCTCTGCTTGTATGGCATAGCCCATCTTCCTAAAGATTTCTTGTTTTACTACAACCTGTACAATTTATTAAAGAAAGTCCATGAAAAAATTCAAAGATGAAGAAAAAGTCACCCAGAGACTGTGATAGGGTTATGGTATAATTTCACTAACAATTCTATGATGTCACATCAATTATGCGAAGAACAGGTACAACAATAACAAATACCTTATAAGAATGATAGTAATAAGAAGAATGAGTCACATCCTTTGGAAAAAATGATGAAGTTGCAAACACTTTGTCAATTTTATAAAGTTTTCCTTGGGGTTGCAATCGCCTTACCTCACCTCCAAGGGGTGAAAGATTCTCTTTCTCTCATTCAAAAAGAAGATGAAAGATTTCCTTGTTACAATAATTTGATGTAATATCAGCAACCACTTATACATGTTATACATCTTAAAACAACAAAGAGAAGTAACTCTTTTAAATAAAGTGGCATCAAACTGCATTTCATTGTTGAATCAAATTGCTGTGAAGGAAAACACTACTTCATGTCATGGTGAATAAGCCTAACAAGTTTGAAAAATTTCCTTGTAGATCACCGTACAAACGAAAGTTTACGATGAAAGGACGGACAATGCCATATCATCAAGTGTCTTGTCAAAAAAGAATAACTATTTCTTTTTGGGGTAAATAGCAAGATTTCAGCCCAACAGGTACAATCCTTTTTAGTTGCTTTTTATGCTGTAAGTTCAAAAATTCATAATCTTCCCCTTTAGATTAAAATCTTGTAACTCATCCTGTTGGAACTGAAGTTATCTAGTAATTGTACCTGCCAAACCTAATCTATTAGCCTACTTAAAGAAGTCTGGCCAAGCTGTTAAACTTACCTGTAGAAGTCTGTGACCAAGTTCCAGATGTTTACGTTTGTATTCATCCAGTTTAGCCAGCATGCTGACCTGTTTCTGCTGCAACTGTGTTAGATCTGTGGCTATCATCTGTAACCCAGTGGTAGGTGTGACATTTATTGTATAGTGACAATCAGGCATTTCTCAAAAATGATTTTTTTTTTTAATGAATGAACTGATCCTCTAAAGATGACCTCTGACATCTGACAAGCATAATCTTTGAACCTCTTTAACATTACCTATGACCTTCTAAAACATGATCTCTGAATCCTAAAATTTTACTTCTGATCCTTTAAAACATAACCTATGACACTCCATGATATGACCTTTGATCCACTAGACATGACCCGTAACTCTCTAAAACATTACCTTATGACAATTTGAAGCATGACCTCTGATTCTCTTAAATGTTACCTCTTATCCACCAAATTTTACCTAGAATCTCGGTGCATCTGACCTTAATTGATGAACTTACATCCATTCTTTGGTGGTGTAGCTTTGTCTGTTGTTCCTGGTGCTTCATGCGATGGGAAAGCTCCTTGAAACGGACCATGGGGACAGGAATGAGGGTCTCCGGATCAGGATTGTCTAACTTGGCTTGTTGCCAAATAAGTGGATGGATTCCTGAACAATAAGAATCGGGGCATATGAAATGTAATTGATTATTATATTTGATAAAAAGGGTCATTCTTTCTTTGCCCTGTTCTCATCATTCTTTTTCTGGTCCACACTTCCCATCCATTATCCAGGTCTATTCCAGTGAAACATTTACCTGACTCCTGGATTTCAAAGTAAATAACTTGGTTTCCTATTACTTCTAAAACAAATAATCAATTAAATTTCAGGAGCCTTTGTATAGGATAGATATTTTACACATTGCCTGTACATATTTTATTGCATGAAATAATTTATTGTTTCAAAAACTGCTGTAGGCCTGGTCTTTCATTAGGACCAATACAATATCTTTGTAAACCAACTAATATTGAGAAGAAAATGGCATGTTTTGGCAGCATAAAAATGTCTCAATCAAGCACTATAAATTTAAAATACTTTCACTTTAACATCAATTTCACACGAATATGACTTATCATATATATATATGGATATCTTACGAAGGGAGACAAATCTTACAAGATTTTATTTACCAGCCCCACGTGAGTCACATACATTAACCATAGATGTTTATTCTGTTCACACCTGATGGAGTATTGTCCAGATACTGTTTGTGCTGTTCCTTGGTAAAGCCTGTCTTTGGACGGACATCCTCTGCCATGATTTGGGATTGTAACTGAGGAAGGATATTGTTCTGTTTTAAGAAGTTCGCTGTGTCTAGGGCTGTAATTCTCCGTGCAGGACCTCGGTCAGGACGCTCCAGTATGTAGATCACCAGTTCTGTCCTGCAGAGAAAGATTTGAATTGAATACTGTTAATTAATACATGTTATCATGCACTATTCAACTTTTATTCCAATTTCAATGATTTTTTTTATCTAATACAGTTTATGATATTGTCTTGTTTAAAATTAACCTTTTTCATCCACATAAATGCCTAACTAATTTAATTTTTGTTTCCTAATGACAATTTTTTTATACTTAAATAAATGATGAAGCTTTAAATTTTATTACCAATAAAATGGTATTCATCAACCTTTCATTAACAGGCCAGCAGCCTGGGTGAGTGATTTCAAATGAATTTTGCTTACTTGTCATCTGGTAGTGGCCTTATGCCTTCCACACAGACAGAATACTGAGGTTTGCTGCCAAGCATCTTAAACAGGGAGTCCACTATCAGTTGTTGGCCTGCAGATACTTCTGATTCTTTTTTCTTGATGGTGATTGCTACAAGTCCATCTTCATTGCGGGACTTTGGCAAGCAACTGTACCCAATGGCCTAAAGTAAAAAGCACACCACCAGATGTGAAAACTTATTTTAATTGGTTTTTGTAGTAGTATATCACAACCAAGTGCTAAACACTAAGAGTGCCTGAAACCTTCAAAAGCATTAAGAGTCTGAAGTCCTCTCAATATCATAATAGTTACCAAGAAATAAGGACATACGGTTGGTCCTTGACAGTAAGCAATTTCTGAAGTCAAATCACAAATGTGAAGGGTCAAACCATCCATGAAATAGACATCCCTTCCATCTAATGAGTCAAAACACATTTTTGTGTGTCACATTATCATTTTAAGTGTCTACTGAATGCTCTAAATGAAAGTTAGTGTCAGTTTGGTATCAAATCTTTCCCGTCTATAAGGTCATTAATGTATTACCACTCCAGTTAAACTGGGAGGTCAACACATTACCTCTGCCTCCAAGTAGTAAGAAGGGCTAATTACAAAGCAATGATATCAACATTGTTACCTTGTCTACTGATTATGATAAGTTGACAGAATTAGGCGGACTAACTCGTGTAACAGGTGCAGGCTTAAGGATAAATACGTTTTTTACCTGTGTGGTTTTTTTTAATTCACTGTATAATTGATAACATTATAGTTAGTGATGGGAATCGGAACGGAAATTTACAATCGATTATCGGAAGGAGTTCTACGAATGATTAATCAATCAATCGGAAAAGTATCTATCCTCACTACTTTTAGAACCACATGTCATTTATAGACAAAATACTTCCATACTCTTGACTTCGTTTTTCCAGGTGCTACAGCTCATTATCATCCGCCATTTTGACAACATGCTCTCATGCCGTATTTTCGTACTTATGTTTAAAAGTTAAAATCTAAAGTTTTCTTGATTTATGAATATACTTTCCTTTTCTAAAAAATGAAATCCAAATTTTTATTTACTAGTGTAGATTCATGTCAGTTTTTTTTATTATAAATACTGAATGAAAAATATGAAACGTATGCCACATACTGGTTGCTTCTAGTACTGATACACTAGGCCCGATACACTATTTTGGTTTGGTAATTCCCCGTCCTGTACTTGGAGGTTGTTAACCATTTTCCCCCCGATTAATCGAGCTTACAAAAACTTAGTCGAGCGCTTGATATTTGGTTGTAGTCAAGCGATTTTCGACTTTTTTTGACTATCAGAACACCACTAATTATAGTAATACTAGTCTTATCTATTGACCTACTTTAAATCCACACTAGGGATTTCTGGGCTGAAGTTTACAGTAAAAATCACATCAATCAACTGATACAAAGCACATCTAGTTACTCACTTTAAATTTACAGTAAGGATTTTCTGGGCTGAAGTTTACAGTAAAAATCACATCAATCAACTGATACAAAGCACATCTAGTTACTCACTTTAAATTTACAGTAAGGATTTTCTGGGGTGAAGGTCACACAACCATTTTGACTGAAGTATCCCTTGCCAGTACCCCAGTATGCCTGAAGTTGGTTCCATTTGGCGATTATGGCATCCCGTTCATCTCCGTAAAGTTGTGGTGTGGTAATAGCTGTACTAAGGTTCTCTAGACTCTGTAAATTCTGTTGCTGTTGTTGTTGTTGCTGCTGCTGCTGATTAACTGTGGAGAAAAATAAATAAAAATATTACTAATACTTTTTGATGTATAACCTTTGAATTGTAACTATCGATAGACTTTGAATGATAAACTACACATTACAAATCATGTCTTGCAATAATTCAAAGTTTTACAATTTTAATCAATAAAAAGGTTCATTTTAATTTTTTGAATGTTACGGAAAACTATGAACGTTTATGATTGCCCTATTCAAAAGAAATTTAAAAATGCAAAAATAATAATTACCATGATATAATAATGGGAATGATCCATCAAAATGAATGTATCCTGAACTGAATTCATACAGATTTAAAAGTAAGATTGGATCTGTTTCTCCTTCACAACATAGACATACCACCAAACAAGCCTGTGCCAGTCGTTCCTCCTCCTAACAGACCTGTTCCTGTTGTTCCAGTGCCACCTAGACTGAACCCTGATGTACCACCTCCAAATGATGACGTTCCTCCAAATCCCCCAAATCCAGCAGTTCCAGTACCAGTACCAAATCCTGTTGCTGTTCCCGTGCCAAATCCAGTGCTGCCACCCAGTGTTAGACCTAAGGAGAAAACGATATCGTTAGAAGTCTTATATTTCCTCAATGTTTGAATCTGATAAAGGTTTGGTTTGGCTGATGGGTCATCAAATAGAAAGGGTGTGTGTCTTGCCAACCACCATGAGTAGGAATCAGCGAATCACACACCTCAGATCTTCACCTGTCACCCAATGTCCTACTGACTGAGCTATCATGTCCTCAATTAATAAAGGAATCTTCAATGTATATTTGAACATTTGAAATTAGTTTACATTCAACAGTTCCACCCTGCAGTTTACTCGCTCTGTATCTATATGTATGCTCTGATGCCAGAATTGGAAGTACCAACACATTCACAATGAAGCACCATCACACACAGAATTACTTTTTCTAAAGAATAAAACCTCATTGTTCTAACAGACTTTTAGTTATCAGCATCAGTGATTGAATCATTTGATATTAATTTGTAACATTAACACTTAACTAGGTCATTATTGGTTCATCTATACTACATATTTAAAATCCTCCAGGGCGATCATAGTTGCAGGCAAAACTTTAAGTTGCCTTTTTTGACCAACCTAAACTTTATCACCTGCTTTCTCAAGATTTAAAACTGATACAAAAATTATATAATTTTTGATACACATTATCTGATTATCATAATTAAAGTATTTTTGAAGTGATGAATGAATGTACAATTACTTGAACAGTTGAAAGGGACTTGCACTAACCATCCCTTGCAAGGAATTATGTGTACTTTTGTTTTTAGGAGACTATATATACTGTATACAGCTAATCAGCTTAGCCACACTTTTCACTTTGAACTTGAAATTACTAAGAAAGTATGATAACAGACCTAAAAGACCTAAAACTAAGATATCAAAACTATTATGTACACAAGAATGTTTATAATCATTAATGTCAAAGTTTTTTATGATGGTCTTATCTTTTTGTGTGTGTAATAAAATAAAATCACTTACATTTAAACAAATATTAAAATGAATTAATTACCTGTATTGAAATAGCTAAAAGGAATAACATAAATTTTAATATATACATTAGATATTCCAATACATATGTGTGGTTATATATACACCAATAATTTGTACACTTTCAGTACAAATTTGATTTTCACACAAAATATCCCCCCAACCAACATTTTGGTTAGTCAGTGCCCTCCCCATTTTAAACTAACTAGAACACTGCAATATATTTGAAAAGAAACTTTATTTTCACCCCATACTGTATATATATAACTGGACAGTTTTGCCTTATATATACACAAAAACCCTAAACTGTTTATATTATAAACATCACATTAATCATAAAAGCTGAGGATTAAATGCAGAATCTGATTACCTGACAACTGAGCACCAAAAGGAGCAAGAAGTGTCTCCCAGCAATTTTGCTAAATTGATAAATGTCTGGTGTTTGGACATGTCCGAACACCTGATATTTCGGCAAATTACATTGTCAAGTGCTAGCTGATCAGCACTCACACCTGTGAGAAAAAAAATGTCGGAATGTCTCTGTAGATGATCTAAAGCTAATTCCGATAAACTTAACTAACCTCCGGCTGACGTTGTTGTCGTTCCAAATCCCGTGAAAGACGGTGTCGCTGATGTAGTTGTTCCTAGTCCTCCTCCGAAACCAAATGTTGGAGCTGCAGACGTTGTGGCGGTCCCTCCAAATCCAAAAGTTGGGGCCGTTGTGCCTCCAAACGTAGGAGCCGCAGTTGTTGTCGTGCCGAATCCTCCAAATGATGGGGCCGCCGAGTTCGAAGTGGCAGTTCCGAAACCTAGAGTTTGAGCTCCCGCTGTAGTTGTGGCTGTACCAAACCCGAAAGTCGGAGCTGTAGCTGTTGTCCCAAACGAAGGAGTAGCTGTATTTACCGTGCCAAATCCACCAGTGTTCAAGGGAAACGCCATTGTCTTCAAATTTCAATTATAATGCTGTTTCATCACAATACTCATCGACAAAGTTATTTCTGTATGTAAGGTTTCCCTCCAATCATTTCTGGACTCCCGAAAGAAGAGCTCTAAACACGTTAATGGCAAGAGTTATTTCCCTTGCACCATTCTATTTCTTTTGTAATCTACTTGAACAGAAAATGGCCGATTGAGAGTAATTTAGTGAAACGAAAATTACCACTAACTAACTCAGAATGTCAGTAAATGGTAAGGAATACGGTGAACATTTAAACAAACTCAATTGTTACTGTCTGAAGCATGCAGGTGCGAATTACCTTTCATTAAGTTCCGTCATGCAGCTATTTAAAATACAATTTATTTTACGAGTCCAAATTTGTAGATTTTCTTAATCATTTTCTGTTTTTAAATGTCAGAGTTTCAAAAAGATTTCCACTTTTGTTTTCCTTTTTTCAAGACCACAGGTTCTCAGAATATTTTATCCGAGTGAAATGGCGTAAAAATAAGAAACAGGAGTAAGGGTGCTTTAAATCCAGATTTTCTACAACCCTTGTCAATATTTTATTTCATATCTGTAGAAATCCGTGTAAGAATGTCCGTAACTGTGATTTCATATATCCTAATTTTGTCATCCAGCGACATTATATATATTCATGTGTGTATCATATATGATCAATGAAGTAATAACAGTGCGTACAAGTAAATTGTCAAATTTTCGAGACAATCTGCTCCTCCATCAAGACACAAATATTACATACATTATGTAACAAGGTGAATTGGACATATTTTGTATTATCTTGTTATATGTAGATGTCACATGACAATCACGTGATCCGAACCTATAAAAATATGTTCAAGCTATTTAATGTTTTTTTCTATCAATTCGTCTATTTGTAGTACTTATATTGTATTGGATTGACGTCTAGTAGATGTGATTCTGGTTTGATAAGTGAACTCAAAGTTATTTACGGAATGATCCGAACTGCGTTGACCAATCGAATCTAGCGGTCAGTTCAATTAAAAAAAATCTATTGTTATCGATCTGGCCCCACTTGTATAAAACATCTCAACTTGAGATTTCCTCAAGTCGAGATTTTCCTCAGCTGATATCTCCTCAAAAACGGCTTGTATAAAATTTTCTCAAGGAACAGTAGGAAGGCATCGGCTAGGATGTCCTGAAATTCCTTGAGGAATTTTCATACAAGATATTTTCTTGTTTACCTCGCGATCGGGCTAATCAAACCAAACGATTTGTAAGTACTACATGTATATATAAATAAACAGTAAAGAATAATTAGATATACATGTAGTACTTACAAATCGTTTGGTTTGATTAGCCCGATCGCGAGGTAAACAAGATTTTTTTTATGACGATCACGTCCGGCTGCCAGGTCTCAACTGCCAGATCGATGACCAGATAAATGTTGAAACATCTCAACTAGAACTTTGTGTTATGATTTGAGGGTTACATTTTTGGCGTCGTGGACAGGATCAAGATTTATTCAAGGAAGGCATTCGAGATGGGATACGTGGCTTCCCGCATCTGAGACTGTTTCTGGACTTCCGGTTGGATGTGTGAACTTCCGGTTGGATTTTCTGGACCAGTGATTTGCCATTTGTAGCTTGATGTCCGGACACGGGAACATTTGTAGTTTCATTGTTACAAAATTGGTGTTATATTTGTAATTATTATTATATTTTTTTCTCACAATAGTTGTTTGTAGTGAAATATTAACTATATTTAAGAACCATTATTAATGCTATTTAGTTGTATTTACCTATATTTTTCTGTACCTTGCTGTTTTCCGGTATAAGTTCCGTCATGCAGCTATTTAAAATACAATTTATTTTACGAGTCCAAATTTGTAGATTTTCTTAATCATTTTCTGTTTTTAAATGTCAGAGTTTCAAAAAGATTTCCACTTTTGTTTTCCTTTTTTTCAAGACCACAGGTTATCAGAATATTTTATCCGAGTGAAATGGCGTAAAAATAAGAAACAGGAGTAAGGGTGCATTAAATCCAGATTTTCTACAACCCTTGTCAATATTTTATTTCATATCTGTAGAAATCCGTGTAAGAATGTCCGTAACTGTGATTTCATATATCCTAATTTTGTCATCCAGCGACATTATATATATTCATGTGTGTATCATATATGATCAATGAAGTAATAACAGTGCGTACAAGTAAATTGTCAAATTTTCGAGACAATCTGCTCCTCCATCAAGACACAAATATTACATACATTACATCACATACATAGAACATAAAACAAATACAAAGTTATAAAGTTAACTCGAAAGCGGTGGTGTAAATTTAGGTGTCTCGATACTCCCTTCGTTCGATTGACGTTGAAGGCCCTATATAAGGGATTCCAAATTCATCCTAAATTGTTGAAGATGGTGATTAAAATATCATTTTTTCATATCAATCTCGATACGTTATACATATCTCATTTTTTTATCGTAGGTGTTAATTTCATATGTAAAACTATATATCGCAGATATACCGACTCATTTTATACCAATAATCTATACGTTTACTGACTCATTACTTTGACTTTATGGAGTACCATACGCTAACCAAAAATAAGGATTTAAAAAAATACGATTTATATCACAAGCTTATAGCGATGGCTGATATTTATTCCACAATAACGATGATAAATAAGCTAGATATTTATTTTCCCATCCATGACATTTGAGACATTAATAAGTAAAACTAATCCGTCATAACTGAAATGAAATCTGACGGGGAACAGAAAGCTCAACAAGAGATCCTCGGAACATTCCGGAGAGACCCGAACAAGTCCGATCCCAATGACGTCAACAGGAAGTTACGTCACAGGTAAAAAAGACGTCATCACTTCAGTCACATGCATCTTCGTGCCAACGAAGACAACAGCGGCAGTCACGCAAAGTTTAGCTCGCGCCAAATTTTCAACTTTAGCAGATTTACGGAGAAAAGAAGTTTATATATTTTATTGAAATATCAAGATAAGGTAAGAGACGCCTTTTGTGCACTATATTTAATCATACATACATATTTGTTTTTGGTAAATGGTGCCGATGGGCCTACCATCAAGCATCCAGTAACCACGAAGAAGATATATGGAAGATTTAGGATTGAAATTACAATTACTGAACTCAAACGAATTATGCCTTAGCTTTCAACATACGACAAAAAGATAGTCGGAAGATGAATTCAATGCCAACCTAAATGAGACCAGCACCGTGTAATATGATAAAGTTCAGTATTGGTTCTACAGACTTAACATAGACCAACACGTTGCGCCACATCGGAGAATATTTGTTTCTCTATTTTTTCTGAATACTTCGTATCAATACAAAAATGTATCAATATCTTTTAATTCGCAGTTATTTCATACAATGACCATAAGGAAACAGCAAAGCGAAAGACGCCCCAAGCCGGCGACAATTCTGACCAGTAGGAAATATTGTACAGGAATCAAACTAAGGGTAAGTTAGCACCGTTATAAATTTGAATTATCTTATTACATCACTGCGTTTATAAAATTGATAATTAAATTAGATATATAATATTCAATGACATATCTTGTACTCGCTGTTTTCCTCCTTGTCCTCCTCTCCTCATTCTTCAGTAGTAAATTCCCGCTGGTTTCGATGAACCGATGACCAGTAAATATTTCATTTCTCAAATGACAGTATCAATAGAAATATATCTACTGCATATCGATTTTAAGTTTGAACTATTGTGTGTTTCAGGGACAGCCTTCCTCAACAAAGATAAGGTCCGATAATATTGGACATAATAGAAAGACCAGGATCACTAGATCTCAAACCAAACCTCGGAGACAATCCAGTCGTCAATCTGAGGTGTCCAAGCTGACCAAAACGACCAAACAGACATTTGTCCAAAAACCTGTTACGGTAAAATTTGGAAATAAGAACAAAGCAGAAAAAGTTACCGAGAATCTTGTAGCAAAAGATGTGGAAAATAAAATTGATACTGTTCAGAAAACGAAACCTGATGTTTCAATGCAAGGTTATTATCCGACCAAAATGGAAACAAAACCAGATCTGGTCCAAGATCCCGATGTCTTCAAAAAAGAAATGAAACCAGAGACAGCCCGGGAACGCTCCGATTTCCAAGGAAATGTTGACAAATTGGATATTTTCGAACAGACAGCTAAGTCAACGCGGAGCTCAAAACCTGACTACGCCAAACTCGCCGGAATCAAGGTGAGTGTATTTTTTAAGAATTTTATTTCAGTTGACTTCTTCGATTCCATGATATCACGATTTAAGATACGATGATCATAGGAAAGTCTAATAAAGGTGTAATAGTAAAAAAGTTATACTGAAAACACGTAAGTTTATTATTTTGTCCTATTCAATAATCCGGAAAAGTTTGTTTCGTTCTTTTACATTCAATATCGCATTTTTTTCTTTCTTCGAAAATCAGGTAAATTTTATCATCCGAGACCAAGACCACGTATACAGAAACATTGTCTTGATTCACGCAGTTCCTATAGAATAAGATCTTTATTTGTCCAGACAAACGATGTTTCAGGACATTCTGAAACAAACTGTGACAATTTAATGTAGGCTTTTTCTGTATACGGAAACACTTTCCGTAGGGTTGTAAATATCCAAGATTTTATCATTGGAAGTCACTCAAATTTTTCATACCCGGGTGAAATTTTAACAATCGACTGCGATGAAGAGATAAAAATAAAAACGCGGATAGATATCCAGTTTTACAGTTCGGACTAACGGAAAAGTGATCGGTCTAACGAGGTTCCATTGTAATGAATTTTATTAATGTTTGCTTACTTCTGTTATCTTCTTCAGAGGCGTTCTCCATCATCTGTTCTGTCGTCTCCCGAATTACCACGATTTGTACGAAAGGCTAGACGTCGTGGTAAACGAACAAGACAGGAAGCCGATCAGAATCGGCGGACCGACGCTTGTAAACAGTTTGTAGTAGAGGTAACAGAGAAACATGATGACACTGAATGTAGATCACCTCCAAAACAATGCCATGAAACTCGTGAACAAGTTGTTACACGAAACCAG